GAGCGAGCACCGCCAGGCCCTGGCCGCCGCCAAGCACCGAGGCCCCGCGCCGCCCCCGGGGAGCCCGGAGCCCGGCCCGAGCCCGTGGGGCGAGGAACACCCGGGAGAGAGGAGCCCCCGCGGCTGGGAGAGGAGCGGCGACCGGAGCGACCCTTCCGGCGCGGACTCGGGGCGGCGGCCCGACCCGGAGGCCGAGGCGCCCCCCACGCGGAACAGCGAGATCGCCCAGTGCAGCGCTGCCGAGACGGTGGTCGTCTCCAGGGCGGATCCCAGAGACGAGAAGCTAGCCCTGTATCTGGCCGAGGTGGAGAAGCAGGACAAGTATCTGCGACAGAGAAATAAATACCGATTCCACATCATTCCCGACGGCAACTGCCTCTACCGAGCTGTCAGCAAGACAGTGTACGGGGACCAGAGCCTGCACCGGGAGCTGAGAGAGCAGACGGTGCACTACATCGCCGATCATCTCGACCACTTTAGCCCCCTGATTGAGGGCGACGTGGGAGAATTTATCATCGCTGCTGCCCAAGACGGGGCGTGGGCCGGGTACCCTGAGTTGCTGGCCATGGGGCAGATGCTGAATGTGAATATACACTTAACTACTGGAGGGAGGTTGGAGAGCCCCACGGTGTCTACCATGATTCACTATTTGGGCCCAGAGGATTCCCTAAGGCCTAGTATTTGGCTCAGTTGGCTCAGTAATGGACACTATGATGCGGTATTTGATCACTCCTATCCTAACCCAGAGTATGACAATTGGTGCAGACAAACTCAAGTGCAAAGAAAACGCGATGAAGAACTTGCCAAATCCATGGCCATATCCCTGTCCAAAATGTATATAGAACAAAATGCATGCTCTTGAAGTGTCTGGAAACCTTACACCCTGGGAAAATTGCATACATGTGTTTGGAGAATCACACGAACTCTAATCAGGGTAATAGCACTTTTAAACTTACTAGTAGGTTTTCTGTAGGTGTGATGCCTTAATCGTTTCTTTTGAATGTTTCTTCAGAGTTGGAGGTTGCTGGGCACCTAAGTGATGTTTCATGATAGCTTTGGGTGATCCTACTGCTATTTATAATTTGCTGTATAAAGTGAGCACTACTTAATTTGCAAGCTAATTTCTCACAGTGTAAATTTGTTCACTTCTGGTAGTCTATTTTCTATAAAAATGTATTTTTGCACAACATTTTTAAAAATTGGTGTACTTTCTCGTCAATGATGTGTTCATTTTGACAAACGGCTTTCAGGCATAAATCCAGAGAAGTGCTTTATATGATATGAAGTTTATTGTTTTGAACAGATTTTGTGATTTAGTAGTTATTTTATGTTTTGGAAATTTGAATTTTACAATTCTTAGATAATTATTTCAAGTGTATATTGATACGTTCGTGTTACCAGATGATTGGCCCATTCCATTTTGATGAAACAGATTTGTCGTTTTGGAAATCGTTATTTTTCTAAAACTGGTCAATCTTTAAAAAGAAGTACTTAAGAGAAGTTTGTGGAAAGATTTTTATTCTTTAAAGGATAGTACCAAGTCTTACTTGAATGAAAGTCTGATATTTGCTGATGGCAAGAGAGATTATTCTGTATTGTGGTTGATGTTTAGAGTAGATTGTCTGGTGCTCACAGTTGTTTTTATTTACATTTGTCATTTTATTATAAAAGAATTCTAACAGGGAATAAAACTTTGTGACAAGATAAGTTGCCTGCTTTATATAGTTTCTTGGATTCAACTAAAATGCCTGGAACCGACCTTGGCATCTGTTTTATAGCAGGAGAATACTGTGTTAATATTCTTTTCCTTTTAAATTTTTTCAAAAGGCAAAATAGGATGGCCCTCTGTTACGTAAAAATGTCTAAACAGAGTTGTATAGTTTGCTGGGTCAAACAGTGTTTTCAACCTAAAATCTATCTCATTGCCACTTTAACTACTTTTAGTCATATTTATTAAGTAATGCAGTTTGTACTTTTTTATTTTGTAACATTTTGTGATTTTTTTGTACAATACTGTATTTGTACAATAGAGTAATTCTCAGCTGATGGAATGAATGAATAAAATGCATAATTTTACTTTTATAATGTCTTTTTGAATAGAGTGGTTTTTAAATTGTGATTTCTGTAGGAACCTTTTTAAAATACGCACTTTTTTTCATGGTAACGATACCACAACTATGAGAGGTTTCCTAAATTCTAACATGAACAGGATAGGCTAATCGTTAGTAATTTCAAAGGGTTAAGTCTCAATGAAATATAATTTAAAGGTGAAGTAACTTAAGAAATTGCTTTCATTATTTCTGGTTATAATTCCTGTCTAAAATTATAGCTGTGCCTTTTGGTTAATGAATAGAGAAGTGCAAGTTTTGTGTTAACCAGCACAACATTTAAATAAATGTCATACTTTTGTGTTTCACTCACTCTCAGCATAGATTTTAATTTTAAGGAGTAACCAAAGTAATGCCCTAATTTTTATCCAGTCGGGCCTCTTGAGACCATGGGAATGTATTTTAAAATGTGTTATCAGATTTAGTTCAAAAGCGGCATGCTATGGTTTACATGTGTGTCCCCCACCCCTGGCAAATTAGTGTGTTGAGACAATCTCCATTATGGTGGTACTAAGAGGTAGGGCCTTTGTTCAAGTGATTAAGTCATGGATTAGTGCCTTATTAATGGGTGGAGCGAACTACTTTAGGCCCTTTTTTCCACTCTTCTGCCATGTTAGGACACCTAGACAGTGCCATTTATGAAGAGTGGGCCTATATCAGACAGGGAACCTACTGTTGCCTTTATCTTAGACTTCCACTTCTAGAACCGAGAGAAATTTTTGTTGTTTGTAAATTACCCAGTCATCAGTATTTTGTCATAGCAGTACAAATGGGACTATGACAGTGTACTTGTATACAGTGTTGTGTTGGGGGTGTCATGTATTGCAGAATAAAAATAGCTAGTTTGGGTTTTTTTACTTTTCAATTGGTCATTTAGACGTCATGGTTATAGAGACAACTGAGGTTGATTTCATTAGTTAATCACCTGTTTGGAAGGATGCCATTGATTATCAAAGACAATTTGTCAGAGGTTTAAATATTAACTAATCATGAATCTCTGGACTTTGAGGTAGATAAGTTTTGCTTCATGGCTTCACTAACATTAATTTGGGAGGAAAACGTTTTTTATTTGAATTACCTGGCTAGCCCTTTTCTCCACTTCAGTGCTGTATAAAATTTGGAGATGCTGAAGATTTACACAAGAATGAATAGAATGAACTAGGTATAAATTGCTAAGAAGCATTCCATAAGCCTATCACTGTTTTAAATAGGTTGTTTTGTGCTCTGTTTCATTTTCAAATTAGGACCCCAAGTTCTTGATTAAGATTCTGAAGTACCATGTTTTTAAACAAAATGGACCCTAAGATCATATTACATGGTGACATGTTTTTTTAGTTGTCTGGCCTGGAAGGTTTGTTTATGTCTTTTCCATTCTCTTTCTATGGTTTAGGGATTTTTTTGAAGAGGTAATGTAGTATTTGTCACTCCCTTATGCTTAATATTTATTCTCTATTGCCATACCAGTTTTATATGTTGACAGTAGCAGTCCAGGATCACTGAAGACTTGAACTGTTGAAGAGGTAGAAATGTGGTTAACTCTTATTTACTTTTAGTAAACAGATTTATTAAACAAATTCATTCCTTTGGTTATTCTTACATAGCAGCCAAGAGACTCAAAACTGTATGAAGGAAACAGTTGATGCTGTGAGTTCTCTTAGTTTTTTCAGAGTTTACTCACTTTCTCATAAAATATGATAAGTAAACACAACTATGGTGTGTTTTCAGGTAAATTAGGAAGAAAATCATACTATTGAGAACTTTATTAAAATTGTACATAGATAAAAACTATGATACAAATAGTTTTTAGTGTGATTTCTTGATTACTGTTTAATTAAAAAAACAAATGGCATAGGATGTCAACATTTCGGCAAAAACCTAAGTTCTGAACCTTTTGTTCATTTTCCACTCAAATGTTTTCTTTCAGATAAGATAAAATTTATTCATTTTAGTATACTTAATTGGACTGTTAAACTACTATTGATAAATGGCACAAAGACATGTACATGTGATACTTTGTCATTTTTCTAAACTTGTTCATATGTTTTATATGGCAGAGTTTTCATGAACTACATACAACACCTCTCGAAAACTACATTTTATAGAGAGAGGAAGTGCCTTAAGATCCCATGAACATCAGAATTTGTTAGCCTCAGTTTGGGTCAATATTGCTCTCTTGAAGTGTTTTCATAATTTTTATACTGGAAAAAAAATGGATCTTGAGATATCATCATTTAAATTTATTTTATGTGTTTTTCTTGTTTTCCTAAAAGACTAGAAAGTTTAAAAATTTTACCATGATATTTAGTGTGCTCATATGGAGGAAAGGTATTAGAGAAAAAAACAGATTTTAAACCTTGAGACATTTGATAATTTGACATGTAGGTAAATGTCCTGGACAAATTCAAGAATATATAATTCAAATATGTAGCATGTTCACATTTAACAGATTTATCTGTCATATGAAATCATAAGTCCAGGCCATTTTATTTTTTATATCCCTAGATTGTCTATAACTATCTCAAAGAGGCACTGAGAAACCAGATGATATTTACCTCACTTTTATTCCTTAAATGTTCTAAGCTCAGTAGGCATGGACTAGACTGTGTTCCCTGTTGAATCCCTGGGTTCAAGGCCAGTACCTAACAAATGAGATACTCAGTAAATTTTTGTTGAATGAAGGAATAAATTGGAGGGAAATGTGAGCTTTGGAAAATATTTTGTTGGTGGATATGAAATTAAGTAAAAGTGGTTTGACTCTAAAAGTACTGGAATTTGTCACTGACAAAGTAATTCTGGGTGTTGTAAGCTGAAATAATAGTCTAAAAAGACATTGAAGTATTGAATTCTATAATTGACAAAATAATTTTTGAAAACAAAAATTGAATTTTTTGAGTTTGTATTGTGTCATCTTCCAAACATCTTGAGAAATTGAACCAAAAGAAATTATTTAAGAATAGATCTTCCATTAATCTAAAGTGATTGTAAAGATGTTGTTTGTCCAAAGAGACGTGCTCTGGCTTGCATTAGGAGGTATACCCATCCCAATTCCAGTTTACAGAAATTCCTAGTTTTGCTGTTTTCTCTATAGCCTGGTCAAAAAGGAAATGTTGGACAGATTTCAAGCATGCTTTAGGCGTGTTGTGTTCAATAGTACTGACTGCATGCTTTTACCATTGGTCAACGGGGCCAGGGCAAGTAGTATGAATGAGATCAAAACATCTACTGGGGGAAAAAGTCAGTGTATTTCCTCCCACTGTAAATTGGGTCAGTGAGTACTATTTTATGGGTAAAGGTCAGAGAGATAGCTCACTATTACCATATTACTCATAGTAAAGCCTTATCTAGCCTTGTTTCTCACAATTGAATTTTTAAGTAATTGAATAGCCTATTTATGTGTTAAATATAAAATGAAACAACAAAATAACTGCTTTGGATGGAATTCTTAAAGAAGTAGTTTATGGTATACTTATTTGCCTTTATAAAATAACTAAATATAGTTCAATCTTCCTTTAATGCCGTAGGGCTATCATGATGGCATGAGTATATTGCAGTGAAGCGTTGGCAGATTGCTGAGGTGTGACAGTCCCTTTGTACTTTAATGAGTCCTGAGACTTTGTCTTCATGTTTTATACTTTCCAGTTTCCTCCCTCACATCCTGATTGTTCTTCTCACCATTGTCCCTTTCTAGCCCTAATTCCCCATTAGGATTTCCTGTGTTCAATTGGAGATACCAACAAACATGCTTCTTAGAATTAACTCTTAAGATAATAAGAAATGGGTTTCTAATTCCCAACTGGGATGCTCTGCAATGAGTAATGAATGTGCTTAAGCTTTACTTTTTGGTCAACCAGAGAGTTTTTTGCTGCCTTCTTTGTCTTCCTTTTTGTATTCTTTGGTGGTATCCTGGATTTGTCTGATTAAGGGGCCTCTAAATGTGTGCAATGGCATATTTAAAAAACAAACTTGGGGCTGGCTATCCTAGTCCTCAAAAGTGGAGCTGATTTGTTATTGCTTGGTTTACATTTTGTTTCTTCTTTACCATATGTAATCCTTTATGGTATGTACCTGCCATTGTCTTCCTTTCATTTATGCATTTTTGTAGTTGTTTTCTGGTCCACTAAGCTGTGGTAATTGTGAGGTAATTCAAATATCAGGTCTTCATTGAAGACTCCAAATCACAGTGTGAATAGACAGGTCCAGTACAAATATGACAGTTCTTTTGGATTTCCTCTAATACTTTATTAATGTGTGTATATTACCTTTATTTGGGTAAATAAGTGAGTCTTTCTCATCCTGGACTTCGCTTCCTATGAGAGGAAAATATTTTTCCTTATATCCATTAAAATGGTTGAATAGATCCACCGAATAGGCTATTAACCCTGTGTTAATAGGCTGGCAAGTAGAATTTCGTCAAAGACAGTTTGAAAAATGGAAAGGACGAATTAATTCCAGTGGGTGGGAATGCACACTATATTTTAAAACAGTTAAAGTAAGAAAAAAACCACACACACACGGTGTTTTATACTTTGAACTGGGATGATTTTAGCAAGTGATGATACCGAGAAGACTGGCAATGTAAAAGAGGTAGCCCTAATGATCTGTGCTTGAAGTAATGATTGAGTCTAAACAAATGTTCCACTTAGATTAGAAGTTCTCTGAATACTTTTATGGATGGACAGTGTTGTTGTATTTCTCATCAAGGTATGAGATGGTGGTATGCAAAATAGGTAATTGTGAAGGGAGTTTATACCGATGTGTCATGTAACACCTGTGCAGCCAGTTTGTAAAATAAACTCAAATAAGGCTTTCAGTTCTAAACAGGAAACATTCACACTTTTTGTTTCTTACAGTGAAATATGAGTTGTGCTGATGATGTAATAGGAATGAAATAAGAAGGAAATGCCACACTGAGGTGGAAGAATACAGTCAGGAAATTCTTAGCTGTCACTTCACTGCCTTTGCCCTCTTTCTGAA